CTCCTTAATTACCACTATGTCTCAGGGGAGCTGCAGTTCACTTGATTTATGATAAAATTCTTTCTCTGGTCTGGACTTTGCGACTGGATTGTGTCTATGTCATCCCTGAGTGATCTGGGTTTCTTTACGACAGTAAAATTTGGATAAAGTAGTCTGGTGGGCTATAAAAGACTGAGAAAGCATAATTTCCTTAAAACAAAATTTTAGAAGACACAGTGAAGACCTTGGTGGCCACAGTGGAACACCAAACAAAATGGTTTGAATCAAAACTTCATCCCAAAGTGAAATGTTATTTATTATGCTACAGCTCAAACAAGATGTTTAGACATTTCCAAACCCCTTCCTTATTTTTCATTTGCATTAATGAAAGGTTAATATCTTGCTTTTCAGGCTAATTTGAGGTGCTGAGAAGCATTTTAACATATTATGATATTTAATACATAATATCATAATTTCTAGTGGGATGAAAATCCCAGTTTTTACCAGCTGCTAATGGCCTCTGGAGAGATTCAGGCTGATGAGGTTTGTGATGTCAAACAGCTGTAGATGAAAATACGAGAAACAGTTGACAATAATTAAATAATACAAATGTAAAACTACAAATCTGAGACAAGCACATAGTTGTCATGGTATTATTTCATATGATTTTTATGTGATATTAAATACCATTAAATTTTCATACTCTTAGCAAAGTCAAAATAGGAACATACTAATCTGCAGATTTATATTTCAGACAGTAAAGAAATAAAGCAACACAATATTTAGTTAGCATGAACAAACTTCTGAAGCTTTTCTTTTTTTTTAATGTGAAATTGATTAACTGAAAAGAAAGTCATTTACTGAGTTCACCCAGCAAATTAAGGTGAACAATTCACAGAAATGACACAATTGTAACCCTTTTTCTTGTGTATTAAGAGCAAGCTGTGGAATTTTGAAGTGTACCTGTAATTAAACATACTTGCTGAACAATTCTAAATCTGCAGTTTATTTGCAAAAGCTTTACATACAAATTCAATATTCAAAATTCAAGCTGCTTGATTAGGTCAGTAGGCACATAATATGTTTCTATCTCAGAAGCTTGATTCTTCATATCAAAAATCTCATACGAATCATTCAGAATTTGCTTTTTGCAAATACTCTTCAATAGGATGCTCAAAATTCATCAAACATTATTGTTAGTACCTCTATTCAGCAGAATCATATCATAGAATTAAAGAATGGTTTGGGTTGGAAGGGACCTTAAAGATCATCTGGTTCCAACCCCCCTGCCATAGGCAGGGACACCTTCCACTAGACCAGGTTGCTCAGAGCCCCATCCAACCTGGCCTGAACACTTCCAGGGATGGGGCATCCACAACTTCTCTGGGCAACCTGTTCCAGTGCCCCACCACCCTCATAGTGAAGAACTTCTTCCTTACAGCTAATCTAAACCTACACTCTCAGTTTAAAGCCATTACCCCTTGTCTTATCACTATGTGCCCTTGTAAAATGTCCCTCTCCAGTTTCCTTGTAGGCTCCCTTCAGGTATTGGAAGGCTGCTATAAGGTCTCCCTGGAGCCTTCTCTTCTCCAGGCTGAACAACCCAAACTCTTTTAGCCTGTCTTCATAGGAGAGGTGCTTCAGCACTCTGATCATCTTCATGGCCCTCCTCTGGACTCGCTCCAACAGGTCCATGTCCTTCTTTTGTTGGAGGCCCCAGAGCTGAATGTAGTAGTCCAGATGGGATCTCACGAGAATAATTACAGAGAGCAAACAATAACCAGCTCAAATTACTAAAATGTTTATGTACCTTTCCAGTGAAAGGAAGCCTGGTTGATAAATGGAATTTAACAGCATAAAAGAACAAACAATATTTACTTACTCAGCTTTTGAAGGAAGAATGATATTAACATACCTGCAATATATGTAAATCCCTTAAATATATATGAGTAACTTATATTGCTACTCCTACATATTTTTTCCTAACAAAACTCATTGTTTATCTAAATTTTAAATATAAAATGAAAGTATATTTACTTGTGGAGGCTGGATGTATTAGATTTATCTGAATTATTTTGATCCCTAATTTGGAAAATACATTTTTCAGCTGCTAAACTATACACTAATATGGAAAGCTGCTTACCTAAGCTTTTTTTTCAGTGCTACCGAAAATACTAACAGAACAATTAAACCATTGCTTCAATGGGAGTTGCAGTGCATACAGGTAATAAATATATGGAGCTTACTCTCTTATATCTTTATTGTCTGAGTTTCTTTCCTTTTACTGGCAGGCTTATAGAACTACAAAAGCCATGAAAACTCAACACTAACTTAAAAGTGCAACCTGTTACTTTAATATTTTTGTACTGTGTATCAAGGCATTGTTTACATTAGATAATGAAATGGAGATGGGGCAGAAAACACACCTCTGAAAGACTTTCTATACAAAAGGATGAACACGTAGTTCTTTGCACAAAGCATAGAAAATACTGTGATATTTTATTATTAAAAATGCTGCTGAAAAGTTTATACATATGTGTCCAGCCATATATATCTTCTATCATTACTTAAGGCAAAAAACCAAAATCGCAAAACAATAACAGAAGAAACCATTAAACCCTGCGTGCCTCTTAAGGTCAAGAATATAAGCCTGGGAAAGTACTTTTGTTTTTCTTTTACAGTTTGCAAAGTATATTTTGATATCATTGTTATAGAATTCTATGAAGACCCTATAAATCTCTTCCCTCTATAAATCATACATCAGTCCAGATGTATCAAATTATGAAATCAACTTGATTGTAATTACTTTTAAAAGCTAAAATCATTCACTTACAGGAACTTTTTTTTTTTTACCCAAATGTCACAAGCCTGACACAGTACTGTACATATTGCTAGCAGAAGACAATTGGAAGTACTAAACAAATACTGTAACTCACATTACAAACATACCGAACTGATTATGATGCCAAGCATCATTACCTTTTTTTTCCTTTTTTTCTTTTTTTGCTTTTTTTTTTTTTCTTTTTTTTCTACCTTTTTTAAGAGTTATGAACTGCTGCATCTCAGCTGAGGCATTACATAGGTGGTGGAAATGGCCTGGTATAGAGTCAGCATTAATCAACATTATGTGATGGATCAGTGAAAAAAATCCAGTTTTCCATTTGCTACTGGTTGTACTTTGGGGTTCTTGCTTCATCACATTCCAACCTGAGCATCCAGATCTTGTTTATAGCACATTTATTACAGATAAAGGATTATATCAGCCTCATGTTGCATTTTTATCATGTCATTAACTCTCTTATCATTTCTTTCCTTCAGAATCTGTTTTACTGCCTGCTACAACGAGGAGTTGTGCAGATGACTAGACCTCAGTGAATCACCTTATCTTTGATTTTATTTGTAGGGGTGACTATTCCAAGATATTTTATTAGGAAAGAAAAAGCATAGAAAGCAAGAAGAGGTACAAGGCATCTTGTGTTAGATACTTATGGGACATATGATATTGATGCAGCTTAATTGTGAATTAATGATAGAAAATACATCTGCGATAATCATGTCCAAATGCAGACCAATTTGTTCAAATATCTTTGGTTACTAACTCTCGATGATGGAGTAACTTTCAAAGACAAAATATAAAGCAATCTTCATCTGCAATAACTTATTTCTAGCTTTTCACATTCAAATCAGTTGTTTGAATCAAACTGCTAAGTTCCTTTGTTTGATAGCTCTGCTTGGCCCCTGGTTTCCTAGTGAAGGAAGGGCAGAAGGGAATAATCAGCTAAGAATTTTGCTCTTGCTAAGAGTGATGCTCTCTGGGATTTTCTGTTTTATTCAGTTGTGGAACAGCTGACGATATCTCTGCTTCCCTCTCTGTAATGCTCACTGACTATGGGACTGCTGTGTAATAAATCAGCAAAAAAAGTATTTTCTGACAGGTATGCTCTCAAGTACAAAACAGGATACTGGGCAGAGAAGTTCTTTACACACTGATCATTTCTGAACACTTTAAAAAACAGCCAGCCAACCAACCCACCATTTCCCCAGTTTCAAATTGTGGTTTTATTTCTTTTAGCAAAGCTAAGAAGGTGCTTTCTCAGCTGAGATTCTGCGGCAAGTGCTGGTGAGTATAGAGCTAGCTTTCCTCAGAAAAGGCTGACCAAAACACAGGCTTTCTTTGCTTTTGTCAGGGCACAAAACTCTTCCTAATGTATCACAATAACCAAGAACTACAAACTGGACTCTAAATATATATTATTGGATGTTTCTTGGTTCAGTTCAACAAGCTCAAAATAATAATTATTTTCTTTTGTGTTTTTTTTCTCCATTTTCCAATCCATTGCTGTGTTGCAATTTAACAAAGGCTAACACAAAATTAAATTATAGAAAAAAAAAAAGTTTCAGAAAAGAACAACAATCTCCTATGAATACTTTAACATGCACTAGTGTAACCTGTAAGAGAAAATATGCAGGTCACACAGACAGCTGTATCCTCTGCATGACACCATGGCCTCATATAAATGAAACATGTTAGAAAAAACTCATGTTTTTTGTTTACCACTAGTAATTAAGAAGAAACTCCTCCTTTGAGCTTGGAGGAAACAGAGGTGATATGACTAATGTATATACACATAGGTCACAACTGAATGCACAATCTTTCTAAAAGCTCTTTTCAAACTGAAAACATCAATAAAAGCTTTTTTTTTTGTTTTTAAACTCACAGCTATGTACATTTTTACAAAGTTTCTTTAAATATAGTTCAGGCTGGCAAGTCATCTCTTTGCACAGAACTATACGTATTTTACTGCATAGTCAGTCCTCCTCTTTTTTTTTTCATTTTTGTTTTTAATAATAAAATTCTATTTCCCCCATCTGGATTACAGCTTCATATGTTGGGTAAAAGCCCATGGTGACGTCTTTAACAAGGGCCATTCATGGTATGGCACATAAAGATTTTTTTTTATTATTTTATTTATTAAAAAAAAAAACAAACCAAACCAAAACACCTGTACAGTCACTGGCTCTGTGTTCCAGAAGACTCTGCTTTGCTTGTTACACTCAAAACACCATCTTAAGTGACTTCTTCTGGCCTCAACTTTCAATCAAAGTGGCTGAGATCTTAAAGCAGTATCGTAACAGCAATATACACTTTTCACATTTCACAGGGTTTGTAGTCGATCTTTAACATCAGAGAGTTTCTGTGGGAAGGATCAGTAAGAAAATAATGACTGTCCTTCTCTTTACTTGTTTTTACTTTAGATTTTGGCAAAGTGTTCAATGGATGGTATTACAACTTTATCCTCTTTTTTTTGTTTTTTTTTTTTGTTTTTTCTTTCTTCCAAGTGGCTTGTGAGGGTAGAGGGGGAAGGGTTGAGCTATACCCTAGTAGTCGAATGTCCATGGGGCAAATTTGTACTGTTTTGTCCTCCACTGAAGGTGTTGAAAGTATGCAAAGGCTGCATTCCTGTTAATGTATTTGGAATCATGGTTATGGTGTTGGGTGTCATTAGTGGGATGTCGTCCGGTGACCTTCTCAAAGTAAGCGTGTAGTCAGGTGGACAGGTTAGTCTTAGTGTGTCATGGGCCTGCAGTGATTCACACTCATGGTCATGTTCTAGCTGTTTCATCTGCAATGACATAATCTCTTCGTTTTGTATGTGTGCGATATCATTGGTTGTGTTTCTCTGGGGGCTAGGGCGCCTGTGAGTCTCATGACGCCTCTTGTCCTTCTTGTAATATAATGCAGCAAAAGCTAAAATATTGAGGAACAGCAAGGACGCCCCCACAGCAATGGTGACGCTCAGCTCCGTGGAGTAATCTCTCTTGTTTTCTATCAGAACTGTCGTATCCTCTGGAGCTGTTTTATGGGTGTCTTTTGAATGTTTGGGATTGTTGGCAGGTGTCATTGCTGGGCGTTTGGTGGCTGGCCACAATTTACCAGGAGAACGTCTTGTCACATAAGGAAATGATGTCATGTCAGGAGGGGGGACTTTAGTTGTTGTGGAAACATACTGAAATATTTCATTCAGGTTGTGAAGGTGTGGTACAAGCTCCAACCAGAAAGCAACTTTTGTTGCTCGGTAGTGATCACGAACTCGGGGTTTCAGGCCAATATGCAGATAAAGCTGGTCTTTAGGATTGTATTTGGACCAGGCCACTTCTTCAAAGCGGTTGGGTTTTGTGTGGATGAACTTTGTGTCCTGTGGAACAGGCTGGTTTGGATCTCTACAAAAATAAAAACAGGCAATATTATAGTCATTAAAAAAACAAAAACAAAACCCAAAACCCAAAAAAATCTCCATGTTTTAGTTAATGGTTTATCCAATAATTAACATAACCTAAAAACAGAAGTTAAAAACCCCTCCCAAACGTAACAACAGATGTTAATAAATAAATGAAAGAAAAATTACTGTAAAAACTGCTGTAAGTAGCAAATATGAATATCTAATCCCTATGGCAATGTTGGAAGTCCATGTGACCATAAGAATTTATACTGGTTTTGTATATCATATAAAAAACTTCAAAACATGAAGTAGTAGGGCTAACACATGTAACTGGGAACTATTTCCCTTTGTGTTCCTTTACTGAGCTCTCAGTCCCCCTTCGTTCAGATATCTACTATAGGGAAAAACCTCTGAAGTCTTTGTATGTCGCAAATCTTTCCATCATTTGCATTTGGAGATTACTATTTGAAAGTTCCGTGTGCTCATTGCTACTAAATAACTATGTTGAATGGCCATAGGACAGTGAGCCTTAATTCTGTCCCAGTTTGTAGGGATGAGAAATATATCAGCTGAGATCAACAAGTTTTATAATAGTTCAGTAGTAGTAGAGATAAGAGTAGGACACTACTCAGAGATAATTTCAAAATTGGTAACCCAAATATTTAATTGAAATTATGCTTTTCCCATCTTTTCTTTTTTCTTTTCTTCTTATAGATTCAGAATAAAGACAAACCAATGGCACAAAAAGCATGTAAATGTGGTTAATGTCTATGTATCCTTATAATTTTTTTACACCTTCCTCTTGGCATGAAAAAAATACAGAAATTTAAAATTACTAATACTGAGTTTAATATTTTGTTGCGCATGAGTTTGAATCCTGTTTTGCAGCAAAGCATATTTTCTGGGACTTTGTGCTATATTATACTGAGAGTACATGATTCATTTTCTCTGCATTACTCTGAGAATTTCCCATTCCCATATGCATTAATTTATCTCCTGTGAAAATCATTCTAATATTTTCCTTTTCTTCGAATATACTATTATGCAATGCTACAGGAATACCAAGACCCACTGCTACAGATTTTAAAGCATCTTAGATTTTTTCTTTTTCCATTTTCAAGAGCTCATGAACATGATTGCCTAGTTTAGCGGTCCTTTGCTGTTCATAAAGAGCTATTCCTTCCTTAGTTCTTAAACCAGACTGGTAATTTGACTTTAATAATCTCATGATTCCGGTATTCATCTGTTTACCTGAAAGAATTTATCTTACCTTTTTTGAGTGAAAGGAAGAATTCTTCTTCTATATAATTTTGGTACTTTTGTTTACTTATGCTTGTGGTTTTTGGTGTTTGAGGTTTTTTTGAGTGGTTTGTTGTTTTTTTTTTTTTTCTGTATTATACTGTATCATATCTTTTCCATCACAATAAGATATAAACCAGGGGTTCCAGAACTGTGGCTATTTCATTTATCTATCTATCTATCTATCTATCTATCTATCTATCTATCTATCTATCTATCTTTTTTCATTTTATGTAATAATAGTTAGCCAATTGTGTTATTTCCGAAGAAAAAGATAATTGCTTAGTAATTGTTTACCCTAGTTGAAGCTAGAGGAGTAATATCCACTTCCAAGCAGTACAGCAGCAGATGTATGCTGCTACTTTGGGGGATTCTAGCATGCGTTCAAGAAGGAAATAAAAGTATTTCTTTTGTTCTTGAAGAACAGACTGAAAGATTTGGCAAATCCAGAGGAGAAGATATTGACCCAATTCAATATATCTACTACTACAGTACTTTGGGTTTCAATACATAAATTCCAAAGCAAATTAAAAATAAGCAAGATTACCAAAATACAAAGCATTTTTCTTGTCAGAAACTCAAAATCCTGCAAGAGTTACAGCACAAAATCCATCTTGTGTTCTCCCCACTTGCTGTTCTGACTCACAGCACAAAAGACTCTGGGAAGGGTCATGCAGAAGACGTATAAATTAAGCTAGCTCATGTAAACAAGTTGCGCTTGATACACAGTACAGGAAATGAAGCAGCTGAGCACTCATTTCAATGAGCCAAGCTGGACATGCACGTTTGTTTGTTTTTTTTTTTTTAATGCCCTATAAAAATGACAGCAGATGATGATTTTAGCAACTAAACATTTTTTAAATTGGCATTTCCTTCCCCTACAAACAGCTTACAAAACAAGTAAATACCAACCTCCCATTCCTTTCCCTCTCCTCCACTCTCTGCCTCCATCTCTCCCTTTTAACTGTATTTAGTTAATAGGCAATTATGCTGCTGCCTCCTCCAAACACAAGAGAGAAGATTACATTACATGAAGCTAGTCTTGTATTTCAGGATTTGTTTACACTGCTGTGTGTGAGCATGAAGCTGTCCATTGAAACAAGGAACAGAAAAAAAATCAGCCAACCCTATAGACAAGTTATATTTTTTGCTGAGGGTAACAGAACTCTACCATTGGCATGAACTCTAGGGTTGACCACTTCATAATTAAATAAATGGTCTGAATATTCTCTCTGAATTTGGAGGATAGATATTGAAATGATATTTTTTTTTCAAAAGAAAATGGAATAACTAAGTTCAGTCCTAAATAGACGATCTAATAATGCATGCATCTTGGTTTTACAGACTAATGATAATTTACCAAAAACATTCAGTGGATATAACTAAGAGGATTTTTACTTTCTTTGGCTCTCCTCCTATGTACACTGGAGACAATTCATAAATTCATAAGGTTACAACTTATGACATGTTAAGTCTTTTTCTTGGGAAGTTAGGCAGTTTATCATATTATGAACATTTTTCCAGTATTATAGGAAGGCATAAAATATAGATGTACTTTTCTCCTATCAAATCCGCTGTTTGACAAAACTTTTGATCTGTTACTTTAACTTCAAATTTCCTTTTCCTTTTTTTAGCTTCTCACATCACCTTTGTGTTTCTGGACATTCTTGAGGCTCAAGTGTGTAATTACAGAACAAAAGGCTGCTAGGAAACCTTCCTGTAAAAACCCGCTGCAATCATGGTGATAAAAATATAATCTGAATAATATCTTTTCAGTTCCGTACTTCTTCCATTACTGGCTCTTATAGGGACTAGATAACTTGTTTTCCAATCCTACTAGTTGGCAGGGAGGTTTTTTTTTTTTTTCTTCATCCTATTGCTAGAACAAAATTGATTATTATTGTCATTAATTTTGCTCTCTGATTATTTATTTTCACCACCTCTAGAATTCAATTTAAACAGTTTCTCCATCAAAAAACGCCCCCATCATGAAATGCCTGAACTTGTCTTCCATATGATAGAAGACCATATGATAGTCTTTCTTGTCTTACCTAAGGTATTTTTTTAATTAATGTGCAGAATAATCTGATTTCACTTATCACTTTTTTCCCCCACTTTCAGCCTGCACTGATTTTGCTCAATTCAACATGTTGCTGTTTACTGATTTTTTTCTCAGGTGATGTAAAGTAAATGTGTCTGCAATGGATGCTCACTGAAGAGTAACACACACTCCTGTTCACAAGGTGAATTAGTAGCTGACCTGGAGGGCAAATGAAGGAACTGAGTATTTCATATCTGGTGATATTGGCATGGGAAGAATGATGGGGAATCTTAAGAAGTTTTCTGTTATCCTGAATTCCATATAGCATGTTGAAATATCATTCATCTTTTAACTACTTCTGCAACAGCATTAACTGTCACTCAGGACAATGGAACAGTTACGTTAATGCACTTAAAGTGTTTTATTCTATTGTGTCGTTCTCTAACTTCATTGAAGATAAAAACGTCTTAACAGTTACATGCTGTCTGTCTCCAAGACACTGATAGGCCCCTTGATCATTTATTTTCTTTCAGTAGTCCTCTTTTCTCCATATGGAGGAAAAAAAAAAAAGAGAGAGAGAGAGAGAAACTGTGGCATTTCTTCATGCTTCCACCGATTTTTCATGTTGTCACAATATTAATAATGGTACAGCCATTCCTGCCTGAAACATTGGTACACAAGCATATTTTTCCTTACCTCCTTTTCTCACTTATCACCAGGTCCCACTGTTGCCATGTTCCCAGGCAACTATTATAACAACTAAGGAAGACAAACTCTTTTGTTTGACTAACACAGATTGGCTACTGGAGACAGTTATTTCTTCAGACAAAAACATCAAGAAGAAATGCAATAGCCTCATAAAGGAGTTCACAGAGAATTGACTTGAAAATACACTTTAATCTTTGTAAGTTTAATTGTGTCTTCCATTAGAAAGCCAAACTGAATATAAAACGTAGACATCCTTAATAACTCAGTTAGGTTCTTGCTTCAGAATCAATGGTAGTAAAATAATTTAGGAGTATTTATCTGAATTACAAAGAAAACAAGGATACATCCTTTAGGCCTTTATCACCAATCTAGGTAGAGCTGGATGAATGGGAGTAAAAACAGAGTATTGTAACTCCTCAAATGAGGGTAATTTTTAGAAACCCTCTAATTTAGAAATTTAGAATTTTATTTTAGGTAATTTAGAAATTTTAGGTAAGTTAGAAATTTTAGGTAATTTAGAAACCCTCATTAGATGCCTCTAATGAGAGCATGGCTTCAAATCTACTCTATGAAATTTCAAATCCTTCTTCACAAGAGTGTAGCTGGCAGAGTATCTGTGAAGGACTGGCACACATCCCCTCATGTCGTTCACTCTCCCCCTGCTGATGTATCTGCGAAGGATGTAACATGGCCCTAACTATATTTGAGCATATAAAATTGCCATTACAGTTAGGATAGTACTACTGGCAGCAGACTGAAGCTTTAAGTGTACCTTTTAATGAAGCTCTCACATATAATTTTGCACATAGTGGAATCAAAAAACATATTTTCATGTCATTTTTGTATCCCGAATGTAGTTTCTCACACCTACTCTGTAACAAATTGCTCTCCTATTTCTGAGGCATGTTAGAAACATAGTTTTGAAAAGGCCAAAATGACTGTTAATGCAAAAAAAAAAAAAAAGTCATAAAGGTAGAAAATGGAGGATTAGTAAAATGCAGCTTCCAGGTATTCATTTCAAGCATGGTCCTTTTGCCATGAAACTTTAATTGTCACCTCCTGTTTGCTAGCCTCAGTAACTGATTTCAAAGTAGAACACAATAAAAGCGCTGTGCCTTGTGCTGTGTCTTTGACACCTAGTGATTTTACAGGATTGACCTGCCCTCCAAACCCAGCCTTGGCAGTAGGCCCATTAAACAATGTGTGTTTTTTAGCAGCAGGTGGCATGTCAGTTAAAAGTCCAGCACAGTCCATCAGAACGGTGTACCACCTGAGCTGCAATTATACAATAAGAACCTGGATGCAACCTCTGTGGGAGAGTCACCAAGACTGGAAAAGTCTGAGAGACATTAAAATTAAATAAATAAATCTGCAGTTCTAATGTTCAAGGCTCTTCTACAGGGAAACGTGGAATAATAAAATCTTGCAGTTAACAGATTTTTTTCATATGTGTTGCCATGGGCACAAACACAAAGAAAGGCAAGTTCTATCAGAATAAGGATGGGAATGACCAATTAAAAAAAAGGGTGGAAAAAAAACCTCAAAACAAAGCCCCCAACAACAGAGTCTTGAACGATATCAATCTTTTTGAGAGTTGGAGGACCTGAGTGGGCACATGGATTCTAGACTGCATGTGGGAGGGTAGAGAGGAGAACAGTTACCCAGATATGTCCCCTGTTGCTCTAGGCTTGAGGTGTTACAACCTTCCCTTTTCCATTGGAGGCACCGAGGTGCCTGCACACAGAGGTGCAGAGCAAATGTAATGTTAAAATATTATTTTCTTCCAAATATTCTCTTGTACTATCCAAAACAATTAATCATTGTTCATATAAAGGAAGAAAAAAAAACAGTAATGCATCTTGGGTTGGTCTTTTCTTTTCTTTGTGAAAACTGAAATTTTACAGCCAGAGGTCATTTTTAATGACACATCTTTCAGACTACCTATAAAGGGGCAAGTTTGTAACAGAAGATATACACCACTTCTCTCTCATCAGCAGTGGTGAAGTTTCAGAAATGACTAATGGCTCTCCCAAAGCACCTGTCGTGCCTTTAGGTGTAATACGACAATGGGTTCATAACCAGAGAACTGGGTGATGGCATGCATAGCCTGCTGAAATTAGCTTTCAAGTAGCAACAGCTGGAAAGTGCTTGCAATTATGAGTAACGGTGGCAGCTGGGGCTGTGAGAAGCTCCTGTCAGCCTCAAAAAATTGCTTATATATGACTACAGGGAATAGTCATAAAGTAATTGTAAATAATAGTGAGACTGTGGAGATCTTGTATCTCCATAATAATTCCAATTATGTATATTTGTGAGGATCTGAAGTCCTCTATGTATATGTGACACTTCATCTATAAAAATAAAGACAGACTGATAGTATGATCATCTTTCTGAGTGTGCGGTACAGCCAGTGTGCGGCATTCTCTGTCCATAAACTAAGCTTTCATCCTGAGGTTTGTCCATCCCAGCACTGATGACTTCTTGTTGCCAAACACATCTAAATATTCCACAGTTCTTTCACTACTGTTACAGTACTGTGGGATTTCTGCATGCAAAAGTACCTGTTTATCTAAAATGCAGTGCAACAGAAGCTTTCTTTTTGCCTTTTAAATTAACCTGAAGCATTTGGTTTTTACTCAATTCATGCTCAAGGTTTTTGTTAAGACTGCAAAATATCTCTCCCTTGAATGTCATTTGGATTCATTAAAGGCTGCAAGACCTGCCGAAGCTTCTGAGTGTTTCACACTAGGTATCTCTGAATTTTTCTTATATCGCTGCATACCATTCACTGCAGTGCAGTAAAGCTGCAGTTTCCAGAGCCCAACCCTGCCAGTAAACATTCATTGGAAAGATTTACAGCCCCTTTGTGCCATAAGTATCTTTGTTTTAATTCAATACCAAAGACTCAAGGTTAACGAAAAAGACCTTGCTGCTCAAGTAAAACACTGCAGTGCTCTTTAAAGGAATGCTACAGGAAGAGGACAGAAATTATTAATAGCACTCACAGATGAAGCTGCTTTGAGGGTTCTTTCCTTGATGTTTACAACTCTATTTCAGCAAAACATTGATGTCTTTATTTTGTTTTGTAAGCAGAATTAATTTAAATTTTTAACCTTCTCAAAGCAAAATTTATATCTGAGTCTCTTCTTCATTCCAGTCAAGTACTTATTATTGCCATTATAGCTCTCAAAGGGAAAAATTTTTCCAGTGTCTGCCTTTCTGTTCCAATACCTCCCTGAGTCCCCATCCCTGTGAAGGTCACTAAAAACAATAACTTCCTTTCTTTTGCAGCAGATAAGTGCTATCTGCCTGACAGTTCCTTCTTTACGTAGCAGACGTTGCCTCTGATTTTTCAGTATCTTAGTGAGCTGCCTTTTCTCCGAGACATGCTTTGTTTTAATAATTGCCCTATTTTTTGAAACAAAAATACAGTGCATTATTATTCTCACTGAGCTACTGAAAGAAAATAGTTTGAGGGAACACACTAATTAAAAATCTATTAAATATGAATAAGCCCCAGTTACCTTCTCTCTTACGTAAATAGTGCTATAAAACTGCTGCAAGATCAGGGTTTGAAGCCACTGCTATGGGATACTGACTATTTTAGAAGTATGTTATCAACAAAAAAGAATGCTGGAGGTCAAACTTACCCAGTTTTGGCGAAATTAGTCCAGTATGTCATAACTACTGCACTGAGCATGACATCATTCTTGGAAAAGTTGCAGTTGAACAGTTCTGTGGGGCCAATCATAGGAATCCCAAACACATAAGGGACTTCATCACCATGAGCTGAATCAGCCCAGCTGGGTTTCATTTCACTTTGGCAATGGTGATAAAATGCATAGAAATATGTTGGAGATCCATACTGAGCATGCAGGTCAGCAGTAGCAACAGCTGGAGCAACCCACTGGTGGTCTGTAAAAAGAGCGACCAGGGTCTTCCGTCTTGTTTCAGGGTTTTCTTTGTCTGCCCAGTCAGTGTACATGAATTTAATGGTCTCTCGCAGTGTATCTTTCCCTTCTGGATAACCATACAGATTGTCCACAAAATTGGAGACGGAGAAGTCAAAATCATTAGGGGAAACACCATCTTCATTGTCTACAATGCCGTCCACAAATTTTAAACCTTCCCCTTGATTCACGCCCAACATTATATCATAGTTAAGGAATTCCCCTTGCTCCATGAGAATCTGAGGGTCATCTGGAATCACATCTCCATCTATCACAGGCCCAAAGGCAATGTGGTATGTGGCTGGAGTGATGGTCTGTTGAATGAGTTCTTTGTAATTCTTATTCCGAAGACATTCAACCAAATCAGTGGTATCCAGCATGTCGCAGCCCACTTTATCTGCCAATATCCGAGTGTACTTGGCAGGCTGGTAGTTCACTGCCCAGCTGGACAGGGCTGTTCCACTCTGTATGATTGCCTTTTGGAACAAACCTGCAGGTGCAAATTGTTTAAATGCAAATCCAATTATATATTAAAAAAAAAAAAAAAAGCAGCTTTCTCTAAGGAAAGAAAGCTTTGATTATACAATAACAAAAGGATGCATATACTTAAATTTCAGTTCATTTTCCATATATTCTACTCACTGCTTCCTTTTTACAGCATCTCTAATAGGCTACTAATTAAAATCTCTCTTGTTCTTGATGTTCACACACATAAAGCATGAAGGATTCAGGTTACTGTTTCAAGAACAAAACTCATGCTTGTACTGCAGTTTTCTTGCATCTTTAATGGGAGTTCCCTGGCTTTAGCACAGTGGTAGTTCTGTAAAATTTCTTTAAAGGAGTGGCAGCTACAAGCGATCATATCCTCTTCACCAGGTAAATGACGCTCATAAATGTGCTTTTCAGTAGTTTAAAGGTCAAATGAAAATTACACACTCTCATTTCCTTCACAGAAGCCATGCATCACATAATTTGAAAAAAAACAATTTAATAGGCTTGAGTTTTCTACTCTAACATATTTTTTTCTTTATCATCTTAATTTGTGTGTGTGTGTGTTAGCCCTTGCCTATATGTTGAATTAAAATATATTTACATTTTTTGGAAGAGAGTAAGATGAGATTCAATAGTTCTTTCTGCTTGTTTCATATTTACTAACATAAACGGAGCTGAAAGACCCAGTCTAAAGAGTTTCTTTGTGCCACCAAAGCACTGAAAAGCAACTGGAGCTTACTGGTGAATCTGTCCCATCTTTTTTTTCCTGGTAAAATCACTAAAATGACCTATTTTATACTTAAATTAAAATGCCTGGGCCTCTTCTGCACATGATTTCTACTGTCAAGCTCTTGAAATGTCCAAGGCAGCAAGAGCTACAAAAACATTTAAAGACCTTGAAACATTTATGGGAAAAACTGTCTGTGGTTGATATACCTTTGTGATGATTACTTACTGCACATGCTACAAAATTTCAGTGATGTGATTAGTTAAGTTTTTCATGGTTCCATCTGCTTGATTTTGGCATGGCTTACTCAACAGTTATTCACTGCACCGTATTTGTATCAATAGACTAAACTGTCAGGCATAATTCAATGTATTTCCAAATAGGTTGTATTTACCAGCAGCCTTGCTACAAGTGTTTGCTAGGACTTAGCCTTCTGCCATAGATTTCTGTCTGGTTTTATGTGATAGAAGTAGCATGGACTTATAAATACAACAGATATTTTGTTCTTGTCTTCTTTTATAAACTCTTTGTAGATTTGGTCTTATCACCAGGAATATTTATGGTTCAGTACTGGTGCTGTATATTCTTGTTTGATTTTTTTGGTTGTTGTTGGGGTTTGGGTTTTTTTTGTTTGTTTGGTTGGTTTTTTTTGGGGGGAGGTGTTGAGGGTAGAAATCCCATGGCTCAAACACTTACCAAAATCTTAAGAACTCTGTGTGGGATCACACAGTACTTGTGGGGAGTTAAATGCATTTTTAAATAAGGTTAAGTTACGTTATTATTAAGTAAGGAAAACATCTAAATACATGTTGGAAGTGCAGACAAGAGTGTGTAAAAAATGGAAAAGGTCATTGCCCTTTTCCATTTTAATTAGGGCAAATTCTTTGATAGAAGAGCCAGTGGAGACTGTTGATAAAGCTAGAAAAAGTATATTGCCCATGGCAATTCTTGCATGAAATTTCTGCTATAATAGCATTAAATTTTTCATATAAAAATATTTATGTTTACTAATATAAATCCAGAATACTAGCTAGTAGGTATTTTACAAAATTACAGACCTCATGTAATTCTAATTCAGCCTACCTTATATGGCCATTTTTGTTACACTATCATGTTTTAAAAAAATGTGCTTTGCTCAGAAGATTGTTACCTTCTGAATAGTGAGAGAGTGTCAGGAGACTGACACAGGAAGCTCCTGCCCCAGATCCAAAAATAGTAACTCTTTTTGGGTCTCCTCCGAAAGATCCAATATTTTCTTCAATCCAACGTAAAGCTTGGATTTGGTCAAGCAATCCATAATTGCCTTTTGCAGCTTGGTCCCCAGTACTTAAAAAACCTAGAAGGCAAAAAAAGATAATTTTAGTTCACCAGATACAGAGTTAGCTACAGGGTATCCACATATTCACAACACATCTTCCCATCTTTTCATCTTCTGGGCTTTTCTTTTTTCTTCTTTTTTTCAAAGGTCACAATCCTAGTTAAATGTCTCCAGTGCAGGCAGTGGAACTCATTCTGTATGCTGTTTGGTTTTGCTTTGTTTTTTCCCTACTGCAGAGGTCACGTTTGTGAAAAATCATTATTTCCTTTTTGAAATAATTCTATATCAATGCAACAATACAGACTGAAGATTTTAAACATTTGATAACTGTATGTGATTAAGGTACAAAAAGCTAGGACATCATTTTTGTGCAAAGAAGCAGTGAGATACCCAGTCTTTCACTGATAATAAGGCTCTTAAACACATTAATTTAAATGCTTCTTACCATGGACAAAAATTGTCCTGAACTACATAGTTCTTTAAATTATTGTACTTGTGATATGGATAGACATACTCAGAAACAGAAAAAGAAGGATGAAGAAAATAGTAAAAGGAACAGGAAAAAGGCCTAGGAAAAAATTACACTCCAATTTCAGAGAGGATATTTATTAGGAAGATAGCAGGTAAATCCTCAGCAATTCAGTCCTTGTCTCAGAGATTTTGTCTGAACAAATCGGGTTTTGTGTCTTTCCTTGGAAATTGCAGAGAAAGCTGCACTGCTATTTTTTGTTCCTGTACTGTGGTTATCAGATTTTAGAAACAAAGCATGACACAATTGCTGCTTGTCTTGCAACTGAGAACAAAATCACAGAAAGACTAGGACTGAGATTAATTTTGTTTTTCTGAAACCAGCTAAGGTGAAACATTACAGTTATCCATGCTGCCTATCATTCACAGTTAAGACCTTGTGCTATGTCCAAATTACCACATCAAGCCATGTACTCACACTCCTCTTTTTAACTCCCACAGACCTTTTCCTGTCAGACAACTGGAAGTCAGAAGTCTATTAGAAATACCTTATAGCAAATGGAAGTTTTCAGATGGACGTTGCTGATTTAGGCACCGCTGACAGCTGCTCATCAAGACAAAACAAAGAAATCACTTGGCTGGTGTTTCCAAGCTAATTATCAGTTCAGACAAATTTGCCAGAAGAGGGCCCCAGGACTCAGGAGATCTGTAGTCCTGGAGCAGTTTGAGATGAGACAGTCTATAATCTTGAGCCACCTTAGCCTGGTGTGACAAGACTTTCATGCTTCTAGGAACGACTGCAAGGGAAGCCTGAGGTCCCTAGGGAAAACAAGGCCTTGCAGTACATTTCACTTGCTTTGGCAAAGGGGAACAGATCACTTTGCATCGGCTGTAGTTATTTTTTCAGTGATAGGCAGAATGAAAATTCACAGGGTGGAAGGGATTCACAATATGGAGGAAGCAGAAGAGAAGGAAAGGCAAGAGAAAAGAAGAAGAAATTATATGTCGGACATTCATACCTGTATTTCCTTAATGTTTTCTATGGTAAAATTCCTACAAGGAGATGGAAAATCCAGCCTCAAGGTTTAAAAGCAAGATCGTACAACGACTAAACTCTAAATATGGAATTCTATATGGCCTATATTATGGTGGCATAAATTTCTGCATGCAATGCTAGGCATGATTGAATGGAATGTATTACCTTGCACCCAAAAGAATATTTTTCATATTTAATTAGTAATTATTAATAGTTATTTAATGTCAGCAAGTGTCTGATGCATCCCTGTATTCTTCACAAAGCAGTTGCTTCAATTGCAGTAGTAAGAATCATATCCTTATTGCTAAATAGTATTTGATACGGTTTTCTGATAAAAACGTCTCTAATAATGGCAAGCACAGTGGTTAGAATAGCAGTAACATCTTTTTCTCTTCTATACCAATAGGGAAAAAACAAACAAACTATTAATCCATAATTGCCTCAATTTTTTTAACAGATGTGTTTTTCTCATTTTCACATGCCTTTATTATCTTTTTAGGATTGTCAAAGAAAGAATAACCCACTTGCTGGCTTTGTTGCTGCAGCTCACTGCAATGTTCTATAATATTCTATAATTAAGCCTTTATTCAATCAGAACTATGACCTCCCTGGGAGAAAGTGACTGTTGTAACCTTTAAAGCAGCACGGTAGTTAGTATTCAGAGCCTAAATACATTTTAGCTCTTCTAGCAGCATCATGCTAAAGCTGGTTGATCTTTGTGATTTTGAATTCTTTCCAAATGTAAATGTGGAAAATCTGACTGAGTAAAACTGCTGTCAGTGAATATCTGATGTTAGACAAATGAAGATTTTTTTTTTGTTGTTTCCACAGTTCTCTGATGATTCTCATTAATTGCAAGAACAAATTTTCTTAATTTAAAAAATAATCATCATGGCAAAGTGTCAGGCCCACATGACATAAACTGTATTCATAAATCTGTCTTTTCTTGATGAGGATATATTTTCTTTCATGCTCTGAATACTAGATCAAAATATTTGTTCAAAGCCATTTCAAGAAATTCAGGCAGGGACTAAGTATTTGTCCAGAAATACACAAAAGAAATTTCTTTTTTTTTTTTTTTTCTGTGACCACTGTGAAAATTTCAGAACAGCATCTTCATGTGTCACCCTAAAATCTTGAACAAACAAGAATGCAGCTTTTTTTCTGAGATGGGGATTTATACTCTGTCCCATTTATGTATATGTTTTTAAGTGCAGTTAAGAATATTTCCTATTTTACAGTTTGGCATGATTTGAAGGGCATTCTGTGATCTGAAAATCCTTAGGTTGGGGTTTTGACAGAACCTGGAAATTCTTGTCACTAACCTAATGCAACAGAGAAAGGAATGGCAATAGTTGAATATGGAAAACAAAGACTTTTTTTTTTTCCCACATTAACAGTAATATTCAGTTCTTGACTTCACAAATCTATCTTTCCTTAAATAGTGATTTGGAAGAGTGACAACATGGCTCTCCCACTGCAAAATGCCATGGACAGCAACAGCTGAAAAACAGGAATGTGAGTGCATCCCATCTGTGTTGAGTGAAATATCCCGAATTGTCTCAGGGGACGTTTGGTCCAAACCTATTGTGCCAGAGCAAAAGATGACCACCAGCTGGACTGAGTAGTAACCAGGCAATTAGAGTCTTCGGAGGCAAAGGTCAGCTTGAAAAGAAGGGCAAAAGACGCATGGCAAAAAGTAGACAGAGGGAGGTGGGAAGAAGACAGCAGCTGGACACGGTTTGACATTGCAAGAAGTGGCCACTGACATCGCAAGATCCCTCCAGCCTGAACAGAGCACCCTCCTGTGGGATGCCTGTACCCAGCCGGGGGCTGTCCATGTGGGCTGGCACACAGGGACCCCCTTGGTGTGTGTGTGTGGGGCCTCATAGGGTGTTTTTTTCCCAGTGTGGGTTGGTGAGTGCATGAGAGTGGCAGGAGCTTACCTGATGCTGGAGCAGCCATATGTCCCACATGGAGAATGGGAGAACTTCCATTCCCCCTGATGGGGCTGCTACTGACCCACGCAGCCTGGGTGTGGCTCAGAGCACACCTAGGTCTGTGTGTTTGTGTGTGTAATTAGAACTTTTTGAGATTAGTTATAGAAGGGTGTTTAGAAATTAGCAACTGTTTACTAACCTTTCTTAAGTGTCTAGTATTGTAGGTTATCTTTTGTACTGCTGATGTTGATCCTGAAAGTATAGCTCACTGACTGCTGGTTAGTTACATGTCATTAATAAATTAATAAACTGCTTTGATACTGATTTGATTTAAACCACATGAATTGAGCAGCTTTTCCATATGACAGTTTATTCTTTAAAAATAAGTAAAAATGCATCATTTCATAAGAGGAAACATAAAGTATTCTTGATTTGTCTTGCTGTATTACTTGTAATTAATCTTGCATGTCATTTTTTCTACATCCTTTCATGTAGAGAAAAGTAATGCTTCTTTAGATTGAGGTTTCTGAAGTAACAGTTTTATTTATTTTTCTCTGATTCTGTTAAGGGAAGCATTCTAGATGAATGCTTTAGTTTTAACCTACTAGATTAGCTACAGTCAAGGAGGAAGAAGACTACAAATGGAACTTATTGGAATTTTCCTTTTCCACAGCCTCTAAAAATGGATGGACTCATAAGCTACATGCTGTCACTTGCACAGTTTTGATAATGCAGTGAAGACACAAAGCTACACACAGATCTCCTTTAGATCCCACTTACACAACAGAAAATCTCTAGGTCTATCTTTATACTTGGTTTTCCCACTATGTCACAGAAATCTTACTGAGAGACTAAACAAACCCCAACAAACCAGTGGTGATATTTCCCCTTGACTACTAAAAAGTTATTTGTTGGACTCACACTGACAAATAGCAGTGGCCAATATCTATAAAATCCACCCAGGCAATTTACTTCTGTCCAGCTCCAGCTTTGTCTTGTGGCTGGAGGCCATCCCTATGTTAGCATGCCACACAGACCTGCAAGAGGGAGTCTAGAACAGAATAGTTGGACCTCACACCCACACTGTACAAATTTCACGTACTGTTTTTTACTACGACCTAACTCTTGTCCGGTCCCATAGGCTGAATGAATGACCACTGGTAGACATTTTGCATAAGGGGGAGAACATCTTCCAGCTGAGGTTCACCTGGAAGGGTCAGGCTGTACTTTACAGAACCTCTCTGCAATGTGAAACAATGTGCATGGAGGTGGTGACAATATTGAGGTTTTCTGTGGAAATGTACTCCTGATCTGAATTAAAATGATAGTGGGGACATGCTCAGGATCAAAATTACATTTTTCCAACCACGGAATTTCAATTTGCAAGGAGTAGGCTCAGGTGCAGCCGCATTTCATCTGTGGACCTTGTCCAGATATGCGAATAACTAAGTAGTATGCTTAATAACTATAAAGCATTTCACTTATACTAAATACAATATTGGAATATAATCTATCCTAATACTTAGACAAAAGTATTTTCAACTGAAAGTTATGCAGTGATTTATGGGCATTGG